TGTATTGTGCTTGTGATATGTTGTAAAATGTTGTATGTCTGTTAATGTTTCCCTCCTTTTATCCTTAAAATAAAAAAAATTAAAAAATAAAAAAATAAAAAATGGCACCGGCATGGTGCTCAGTAGAGTAGAGTGCAAATGATCACGTCACCACTGTCCTTCTGACGAGTTCCTCCTCCTCTTGCCACTTGGTTCCTCCTTCTGATCTATAAGATCCCAGCTTTTCCTAGGACCACTTAACAGAGCTGCTCCCCTTGCCGCAAGAGCCTCGGTGAACATTTCCTGTTACCCCATATATTTCTTACAATATTTTTATTTATTAGTTTGTGGATTTGTGGGTTGGCTCACATAGCAGGGAAATGGAGCTAGGAGAGCCATCAGGGACCTGGTCCTAAGCACCACTCATTCGGCATTCAGGCTGCACAGCTGGAGCCTCATAGGCTCCTCCGACTAACTGAGGCTTGAGGCATGGCTTCAGCAGCAGGGCAGCCTCTGCCCCAACAGTCAGAGCGAACACTGTCTGTCTGTCCTTCTGCACGCACTGCCTCCTCTTGTGATGGCAGTGGCTACTCTAGTGCGCAGGCAGGGAGAGCATAAGAGACAACTGACCTCCTCTCTGAGCTCCAGCTCTTCACGCCCTGTCTGCTCCCACAGCCCCACAATATTTCCCAGCCTTGTCACAGGCTGGCAGTCCTGCTTTGAAGGGAATTAGATTCTCCCTCTCTTTCTCTGTGTTTGTGTCTCTGTCTCTGTCTGTGTCTGTGTCTCTGTCTCTCTCTGAGATTGAGCCTTGCTATGTTGCCCAGGCTGATCTCAAACTTCTAGACTCAAGTGACCTTCCTGCCTCAGCCTTCCCAGTTGTAGAACTACAGGTTCAAGCTACCATGCCCAGATACAGGTGATTTTTAAGGCAGGTTAAGTTCAAAAAGCTCCTGTTGGAGTTATAACGTACACCTACCTATTCATAGAAACATGTTGACTCCCATAAATTATACCAGTCAGCATTCAGGGAGGACATGATGCTCCTTGCTTCCCTCCTGTTCCTCTCTGCATCCTCTCTCCCCACCTAACACTTACAGTTTCTGACTATAAATATGATTTGCTCTCGGTATAGAAACTTGGCAAATGAAGCAGGTACAAAGGAGGGAATAATCCTCTGTGATCTTACCTCCCAGAGAGAGATTTCCAAATGTCTCTCCCAGACTCAAGTGAATTCATGTGCATCTCTTTCAAAGCTGACCTCACGCTGCACACATGATATTATGGTCTTTGTATTCACTTTCTGCTCTTGTCGGACTGCTCCCTCTGCTTCACGACTGTTATACTTGTCACTGTGACCCATGGTCCCATGAGGCACTCTCCTTCCTAGCCCCGCAGTGCTGGGCTGAGTCTTGTCTTCTCTGGCCCAAGATCACCACACATGGCTGGAACCCCAGCTTTGTCCCTTCTCCCTCTGCCCAGCATTAACTGTGCATCGCTAACTCGACGTTGTCTTGCCTGGGCTTCGCTTTCAGTGTCTACCGGTCTGTAGCACACTGTCCTCATGTCTCACACATAGAAGTCCATCTCCTGGGCCCCTTCCGACCTCTCTGGTTCTCTCTCCCCACCTCTTGCTTCTACTTTGAGCTCTCAACACTGAGCCCTGCACACTCTGACTGCCTACTTTCTCCGCTTTTTCTCAATAAATCCACAGCCCCATCTACGGGTCCAGGCCCCACCACTTGCTGAGCCTTGCCCTGGCCCTCCCTAGGTATCAAGGCCCGATCTCCTCTGTTCTCTTAGCCCAGGGTGTCTCCTCTTCCGGGTGGATCAGAGGCCTGGGAGGCAAGGGAAATAGCTGATTGGGCTCCGGCCCTGTAGCCTGTGGCAGGAGTGCAGGACTCCTGAGCGGCTGCTTTTCTAATGTGCACACAGGTGTCACTCGTGATGTTTGTGCAGGATCAGAGTTTAAGACGCATGGCCCACTGTGCTGCCTCACAAGTGACTTCCTGTGCTTCTCCCCTGGGAACACATGAATGCTCCCGTCTAGGGGGCTCTTTGGAGTCCTCTGGCTCACTGTGCTCAGCTTCCTCCTGCATCCTCCCTCCATCTCAGATTCCTGGGGGATGACTCACAAAGTCCAGTGTAACAGCACTTGCTGACAAGCCCCGGGAGTCACGGCTGAGGGCCCCTGGACCTCGACTGGAATTTCCCAAGGCCTGGAGAAATCTCCCTTCAAGTCCCCTTTCTTCAATGCGTTTCCCATCACAGATGTCTCAAGGATAAGAACAGTAAGGTACTGTTTGCCGTGGATAAGTTACCAAACGCCTAAATGTGACTCGCAATTACTACCCAAAGCCACAGAAAGGTGAGGGAAGCTATATGAATTTTATTTTAAAATTTTGGTAAATTTTTCCACATGAAAATTATTTATGTTTCTAGTAGAGCGTGGGATGCAGGAAAGGCAGACGTCTATGTTAAGGAAAATATGTTGCATCAAGAAAAGTCCCTTTGAACATGACCTCGAAGATGCTTTTTATGGGAAGAATTCTGTTCTATCCACTACCCTGTTAACCACATCTGCTTTTTGAACACAGCATGTCCAACCTAATCTGCATCTACTAAATTCGGGAAAGTGACTGCTCACTCAACTTCCCATTAACCTAAACGCAGGAACCAAAACACCGCTTTCCCAAGCTCTTCTAGTTTCCTTTTTACATATTATACTTATAGGTGTTTAAATAGTCTTTTAAAATATGCTAATAATTTTGTAGATGACTTCTATTAAAAATGCTAGTAATTTTTATGGTAGTAGCAAATAAAAGAGCTCATGTGGTTCCATGTTTTGAAGAAGCCTGTGAAAGAAATTTCAGTTGCTTTAGGTAATCTTGGACGAGACAGGCTTAGATGTTAGCTTTTCTTCTCACTGCTCAAGAAAGATTTTTAAAAAGTTTATGAGAATGAACCACTTCCTTCCATGTGTATTCCCTCCTCATTTCTTCGAAATTGTTGCCTAATCTTTAGGAAGTCACCAGTTCTAATCACTCCTTCATTAATACCCTAGTCACCAGAACACAAATGACTTAGAACATCAAGACATGAGCAGGGCTCTAAACTAAGAAACAACAGCTCAGTTCCACACCTCATGGATGATGGAGTAGTAGGTGACTTGTAGATGTTAAATCAACAGGAAAGAATCATAGCCATGAGCGGACGCATTTCCAGTAACTTTTATCTATAAACAACCCAGGGTAGAGAGGAAGAAAGACCTCTCCCTTCCTTCCTGAGAGAGGAGATTGAGATTTACTTTGAAAAATTCAGGTGACTGTCTAGCTTCTGATTAATCACATGCACTATATCAATCAATAAAATTCAATAATCAATCAATAAAATCTCAGCTCGAGCCTGTCTCTGTAGTAGAAAGCGGGCAATCCTAGTTCTCAACCAAAACAAAGCTTATCAGTGTTATTCAAATGGAGCTGGAATTCAGAGAATCCAAAGAGCTGTATGTAGACACACACACCTCCACACAAGGCCCAAATGTTGGCAGTGACAGTTGACTGAAATTACAAAATGATAAAAAACTGATTTCTAGGAAAAATGACAAAGTGGTTTATTTGAAGTTTGGATGATTTGATCTGACAATAGTAATTAATCTACCAAAATACATAAGTAATATAAAATGTTGTGAGTTTACCTAGAACATAACCATGGCAGTGCTTTCTCCTTCCATGTTTTCTCTGATTAATTTTCTCTTTATTTCAGTACCTTCTACCAACCATTGAATGAAGATATATTAAATACTGAGCATGGTGTTAGGTAAAAATGTATTTTTGTTAAAATTTACTAATGCCTTCCACTGAAATTTCTTAAGAAAAAAACTAAGGGTTCAATTTGAAAATATTTGTCAAAACAATATTCCTTTATACATAAAATTTATACTCAGAAGGTACAAATATTCATTCAGCCTGGAAATTATAATATAGATTACTTTCCCCTGTTACACAACAACTATGATAATGCTATTGCTAGACAAAACTCTGATGTCCAGATTGAAGACAGTGGAAGGGAGTGGAGAATGTTCATGCTGCGATTTATTTATTTCCAAAATGATTACAGACATTTCCAGTCTTCAAGTTTATGTTGCATAGGACAGAAAAAAAAAAAAAATCCCGAAATGAAACCACTCAGAAAGCAAAGGTCCCTGTAGTATTACAGTCACCATGTAGCTCCCACTCCGATTTGACTTTTCTCTAATCCTTTCGTCTCCCTGTCCGTTATCAATCCAAATGGTGTTGGGATGTGAACAGCCTATAATTAGTGCTCAGAGGAGAAAGCATGGATTCATTCAAAGCCATGAATCACAGCTTTTAATGCAATGTATGGGCAACTAGAGTGACGCATGAAGAAATGGAACTAGGAAAGTTTGTAGGCTGCATCTTTCCATGTACCTGACTACCACATTGGGGAACCCTGATTCCTGGGGGTGGAAAAGCTCTGCACTGAGGGGTAAAAGAAGCCACAGAATCAACATGCACGTAACCCCGGAATATCAACTAGCAGGCTCGAAGAAAGTAAAATCTCACTTTTATGGTAAGTATGCAAGGAAAAACTATCAAGTAGAAAACATTGCTGGAATATTTAATTTAAAATAGGTGTTTTGAAAAGGGTTTCACACCCTCGGGGGCCACCAGCTCTCTGACTTATCAGTAGAAGCACCAGGGTTGCCAAGGGAGATGGACGGGTCCACTGCAGTCTCCTGGGAATCCAGCTCAGTCCACCAGCTCCACCACGCTTAGCGATGCTCTTTCATCTCATGTGTGTTCATTTCATCTCCTACTAGATGGTGCATTCTGTGAAGACAGAGGCTGCGGCATTCTAATCTTCCGTCTCCTCCGTAGTGTCCAGCACATGGCTTGGTACCTTGCAAACAGTAAGGTTCGTTCCTTCTACTACAGAAGTCACTTAGGAATATTCAAGCAGAGAGTTGGTTCCCGTCATAATTGTGGGGAGGCCTGCTACCAAAAGTCCCAAACATCTCCAATTCTATGCTCCACTTTTAGAGTCTAGAACCTTCATTTTCTCTTCTCTTTTCTCCTTTTGATTTGTCCTTTTCAATAACATAAAGTAAATGATTGTTTAAGAGTTAAAGTGCTCTTTCTCTATGATACAAAAATTTGTGTTTCAGGGAACATGGACTAAATCAAAGGGCGTTGTAGCCATCATGAGTGGGCAGAAACTATTTTTGTCATGGGCATTCCCAGTTCTTCTAAAAGCACACTGCCTAAGACGATTACATATGCCAATGACTTAGGAGACCAGCCCCAGGATGACCCTGGGTTACATGAGTCAGATTTAGCTCACTCTTTTAGTGAAAAAAGAAGTGATTTTCCAAGTACAAAAATGAGCTGTCTGTAGCTGATGATATTACACACTGTAGGACTCCCTGGGGTTTATCATATGGATTTAAATCTATGACTAATAAAGCTCTATTCTGTGAAATGCAAAGAAAAATACTTAATACCGATGGGTTTTGCTTTCCTCATCTATTAAACAAAAACCTAATCTCCAGTTATGGCTGAGGGTATTTAACAGTGCATTTTCTAAGTACTCACAATTTCTCTTAGCACTGTTCATATATTCAGCCACTGAACTGTCACAACTACCCTATGAATTCAGTACTAAGAACCTGCAAGTCTCTCTCATTCATCCACATGCATATCCACTATGACAACCTTAACCCATGAAATAACTTAACAAAGAAGCTGCAAAATATATAACTATATAATGAATAAATTATGAAGAAAATAATATGCACATTGTTCAAGTTTCAGAATTATAATTAATTTAGAATTTTTTTCTCTAAACCTCTATTTGGGGGCTATTTTAAAGTTCTATGAATTCTGAATTACTAAGACCACTAATATATCATCCCTAATGTAGAGTTTTTTCCCTTTTGCTGATGCCAGCAAAATAGATAATTTTATTTCATTAATTCCACTATATGTAAGAGGTCACAATTACTGGGCTATGAGTGTCATACCTAGCATAAGAGCTGTAAGTGACCTTATAAGTCATCCAGCCCAAATCCTACAACATAAATTGTTTCTTCCTTTTTTCACTTGGGCAATGCTTTGCTGTGTACTCCAAGCCTGGAATATAAATACAGTTAAAGGGCCGGGGATATGGCTCAGCGGTACAAGTGCCTACCTGGCAAGCACAAGGTCCTGAGTTTGATTCCTGGTACCAAAAAAAAAAAACAAAAACCAAACAAATAAATACAATTAAAGAAGTTACAAATATTTGACCATGTTTTTCATGGTCAAAGAATTTCTATTACAAAGTGGAACAAAAGCTCTAAATCTTAAAAAGTGAAACTTAGCAGTAGCTCAGTAACTCAGCCATGTGTCAAAAACTCCATGAAAATTCTTATCTAGGGATGTGACCGGGATGTGGACCCTCACTATGGATTTAAACTAATCATTAGACTCATCTGTCTCTCACCGAATAATTTGCATCACTTCACAGTAAGGCATTTACTAAGATCCAAAGTGTAGCATAGATATTGTGAACTGAGAAGAATCTGTTCAAAAGAAAAGACAAACTGTGATGGGGAAAGGGGAAAGGAAGAAAGGGAAAAAGAAAAATATATATTTATACACAAGATAGTTAAGATAGTTATACAACTAGTTTCTCTCAGTTCACTAACACAAAGGTTTGTGCTAGTATTGTCTGGACAAGATATCATGCCTGTATCTTGTCCTTTGAATAACTACTATGAAGACAACAATACAAAATGTATTAATTATTCTAACTATCCTACTAACTTGTTTTGAAACTCAGTTTCATTGTTCTTTTTATCTTTTTTCTTCTTCAAAATAATAATAGAAAAAGTATTTACTGAACTGTTAACCATTAAAATATCTTGCATGTGCTCCCCAGAACAGATACACCTGTGATAGTAGAGTCTGTCCTGATGATTACACACACGAAATTGTTTTCTTTAACTTTTTTCCTTAGAGTGTTTTCAGGTATTCTAAACTGGCTACATCAGACACTTAGTTTCTAAGCACTTGCTCAGCGGTGTAGCTGCTTTGTGATTTGGAAAAGCCACTTAACCTCCCTGGACATTGGGTTCTTCATTTACTAAACTAGGAGGTTGGTCTCCTCTTATCATTCCTAGCCTGGTTGTCCTAGTGGTAAATTTACACATGGAACTTGAACAACTTGATTCTCACTGGAAGTAATTGTCAAAGGAAGTGTCATCATACCCATTAAAGTTCCTTAATCAAATCACTGAAAGAAGCTGTGGCTTCTCAAAACACAGCTACAGCAAGGCTACAATCTGCTTGACTTTTTGTCAACTCACTCATTAAAAATGTTAAATTTTGGATATTTCAGAATTGAAGTTCAAATTTCTAGTAAGTGTGTGTACTTGTTTTAAAATTATAACATCTTTTATTGTATGAGCTGTTACAAAACTAAGTTTAAATACATTGTGCTTTAAGTAACCAAGCATTTTCAGCAAAATTTTCACACTTCTTAACTGGGTTCAATCTAAGATCAGTGTTTATTTGAAATACTGCCTCAGGTCAGGCAGACCTCAGTCTAATGGTGTGACATTTTCACATTTCATTCCAACCAACCTTAGGGAAAAAAAAAAATTAAATGAAAGATTTCAGTAGATCTAATTAAGGTTAGTTGAGTTAATCCACAGAATAGGTGTATTTAAAAAGCAAACAACTATTGTCAGTATCTTGGATTCTGAACAATTGTTAAGCATACAGTTAATTGTTAAGCATACAGTTAATGTGTCCTGAAGGAGTGTTTTCCTGTCATTCACTGGGGCTCTTGAAATCTGTTTTCAGAATAGATTGTCATCAGCAGGCACTATCTGGTTTGAGCATCACCCTTGAAAAGAAAAATGATCAACATTCCTCAGATAATTGCTTTAAAGAGAATTCGCTGAAAAGGAAGACAATGCCAGAAATATTTCAGAGCAGACTTGAGATACTTCATTTGGTAACATTCCTCCTTCTCTTTCTCAACTCAGGTTGACCTGATCCAATTATGGGCATTTGTGTTTGTCTTTGGCAGCCACTGAATCTTGCAAACCTATCTTCACCCACATCTTCCTACCTTTGAACTGTGTAACCAGAATGACATTGAAATACTGAGCATTCCACACACCTGCAAAGGAGCCTGCTCCTCAGATTTTCAACATCACATTGTCTAAAACAATACTGTTCTCCTTCCTTCTCTTCTTACCACTGGATGGTAATAATCTGGCAGGACTTAAATGATGATCTTTGGTAGAGAACAAAGGTAGAGCTGCGTGTTGTGGCACATACCTGCAGCCCCAGCTACACAGCAGGATTGTTTGAGCTCAGCCTCACTGTGCATGACATAGTGACACTGCGCTCAAAAAAAATTTTAAAGTAGAAATGAAGATTTTAGATACTTAGGCAACATGCAGCAATGTGTAATAAAAGTAACACATGCTCTGGAGTTAAATGTATTAGAATAAACATCCTAGATCTACCATCCTCTGTGTGACTTTAGCCAGATTATTTAATCTCTTACTCCAAAGATTTTTATATGTAAAATGGGGACCAATAATTACTATCTGATAGGGTTGTTTCAAGAATTAGATGGGACAGCATAAGTAGAAATATTTAGCACAGTGTTAAGTCTACTAGATTTGGTCAGAAACAGCATAGCTGCCTGTACTCAATGTGAAAATATCAAATACTTGGAAATTAGAGAGGCTCATACTGGCAGCTGAAGGACAACCCCATCTGTGACCGCTTTGCTGAATTTTTACAAGGGCGTTCTGGGATAAAAACCAAGTAGCCAGCCAACCAACCAGCCAACCAACAAAAGAACAGGGTTAAACCAACCAACCAAACAACCAGCCAACCAGCCAACAAACAAAGGCACAGGTTAAACCAACCAACCAACCAACCAACCAGCTAACCAGCAAAAGAACAGGTTAAACCAACCAGCCAACCACCAACAAAAGAACAGGTTTAAAGGCAGAGAGAGGAAAACAGATTCCTCATGCAAGTTGTACAGAGGAGCAGACAGACTTATAGAAGAACAACATGGACAGCTCTACAGTCAATGGTGTGGCTCTCAACCCTGAGTGTGACAGACGTATTTAGGGTGACCTTTAGCAGGTTATTAAACAATGGAATTGCTGCTTTCATAAGTGTAAATTGGGGATAATTATGATTTCCTGGAAGGATTAACTGACATGATGAGTATATGTAATCAATATATAGTAGACATTCAATAAAGGGTGCAATTATTGTCACTATCATTTATTGAGAGAATTACTCCTGGCTGCTTATGTTAAAGACCTAAGTTAAACCAAGGCTTAAGTTGGCTTCCAGTGGATCCAGAGTGGCGGTGAACCATGCCTAGCAGTTTACTTGTTTGGCAGCGTGAATATTTGTAACTTTCCAGGAAGTTGCTAAAAACAATTTCCTGACCCACAGAACAACATCCTCTTATCTCACATGGGATGGGGACTGCTGTGAGACAGCATTTTTTCTGATGACTTGAAAAGCTTGTCCCTCACATGAAAATGTAAACACCATCATCCTGAATCAGCTGGGCCAACCGTTCTGCCAAAACGCTACCCTAGAAAGTGTGAAAGGTCATGACCATCCACTTTGACATCATGGGTCTTAGCTTCTAGGGTAATAAGAGGTGTAATTATTGTAGTTCCTTTTCTCTTTCCTTTCTTTTTTTAATTTCAACGTTTATTTCAGCATCCTAGGCATGATCATGCTTCCTGTCTTATTTTACCCTAGCAACTCTGTGAGACTGCCCTGTTGCTGATGTCAGCTACCCACTGGCTGGGGGTGACCTGGAAGAGGCACACTGCCTGCCCACCCCACGCAAGGGCTTTCCACATGGCACAAGACAGCATCGCCAGCCAGTGCTCCTAGCTGCTAGGGCATGAGAGTGCAGCTTGGGAACGGGAACAGCAATGGGTATCAGTAGCATCTAACATATCTTCATCTTGCAGGGGCAAGGGGAAAAATATGGACTAGAACATACCAGTGACTTTACTGTGTTTGCATATCTGGTAGTTTGAAGCCGGATCCTAAATCAGACCGCCTGATTCCAAGTCAAGGGCTCTTTCTACCATAACCGCTGGTTTACTGAAGGATACCAGGGGTACAGCTGTCAGTTACATAAACCTCACAGGAAGCAGTAAGTTAGCAGTAAGTGTGTTAATCATGGTAAAGTGTAGCAGTTCCTTCAGTTCCACAGTTAGCCGGCCTTAACACCTCAGCAGATGCTCTGCCATCTCTGCTTTCTGGAAAGGAGGAAACAAACTGATGAGCTTCTATCCAGACCTCCCAGAGTGGCACACACAATCGTTTTGAGGCTTCTTGTAAATGTGATGTCCTGTAGCTGGAGTCTGACTTCATTCAGCACTCTCTGACCTCCTTGGAGTAATGTCCGAGTTCAGGGCGTGGGCAGGTAAAGCCTGGCGTTAGGTAGACCTGCTCTCTCTCACGTGCCCATGTCCTACGGCTCCAAGCTGGGTGAATCTGGATGTGCCTAGGACACATTTTCATTTGGAACTAATCCATTTGCAGCTACCTGACTTAATCACAAGCACTAAGGAAAGAAGAAGAGAGGAAAAGGAGAGAAGGAGACACTGAATGTCACTCATCCCCTCCAGGGAGCTGCAGAGGCATAAAGGAACAGGAGCGGGCACTGGCTGGGGCGCCTTGGCAGTACAATGCTGTGATGTGTAACTATTACTTTACTAGATGTATTCAACAATATTGCAAGCACTGACTTCTCTAAAGTATTTCACCTAGCGGCTCACTTTCACTTCCTTCCTCTTCTCACTCCTATCTTCGGCCCCCAGATACTGCATTTCCTTTGCCTCTCTTAGCTTCCTGTGCTTCGTTCCTCCCATACCTCTAAACGCTGGCAGACTCCACATTTTAAAACTCATCGTTTCACTTCTCTATCTCTATCTATTTCTTGCAGCTTTAAATATCTTCAGTGCTGACAAGTCTCACCTTTAGGTATTTGTCCCTGTCCTCTCTGCAGGCTGCAGTTTCTTCTGTCCGACTGGCTGCTTGGCCTCTCCCTTGGGCAGCATAGGAAACTCAAACTTCTCCCGTGTAAACCATACCTCCTCCTCATCAAGACTTTCCCATTCCAGTAAAGAGCAGCTCCACATTTCCAATGCTTAGTCTGATAATTACAGTGACGTCTCAGATCCCTGGGGTCTCTGTGTGCTACTGATTTCTTTTCCATCTGTTCCAGCCACACGGAGTTTTTCTTTCTTCCTGTCAGGGAGGTTCTTGCCTCAAAACCTTTGCAAGAGCTCTTGCCTCTACTGATACAGTCTCTTTCAGGCCCCTGTGTAGCTAGAATCTTTGCTTCTTATCATGCCTGGGATTTGAACCCTAGTTCCACTGCCTACGGGCATGTGCTTGGAGCAAGTTACTTAACTCCTCTGTGTTCTGTTGCTATTCCACAAAACTGAGAAGGGGGAAAGAGCACCTGCGTATCAGGTGGGTGAGTACCCCGGAGAATGATGAGGATTTGTGTGCTAACACTGGTGAGGTGCTATAAGAATGCTGCTGTGACTTTTATGGGTCTCAGAGGTACCAATGTGCATAGAAAGGTGGCTCACTGACATCGTGACAGAGCTGCTGAAATCCAGAGAACACTCTCTAAAGTCACCACTCACGGTGCTGATGACTCATTGTTAAACTTCACCATCAATTTGGACTTGGACAATACCTCTTCCTTTCTGTATCTTCTTTCTCAATCTGAAAAATGGCCAGTAGTGCCTGACTCACAATGTAACAAGAACTGGGGCTGGGAATTTAGCTCAGCAGCACAGCGCCTGCCTGGCAAGCGCAAAGTCATGAGTTTGATTCCCGGTACCGGAAACAAACAAACAAAAACAATATAACAAGAATGAACTTTGCAAAGAATTAAGTTGGAACCTGCCAAGCTGTCAGAGAGAGCCTGTGCACAGCCAGAGCTAAATAATCAAGGGCTTGGGGCTGGGGATTTAGCTCAGCGGCACAGCGCCTGTCTGGCAATCGTGAGGTCGTGAGTTCAATTCTCAGTACTGGTAAAAACAAAACAAAACAAAACAAATAATAATCAAGCGATCTCATTTTTACTACAAGTAAATAATTACCTGATATATGTAGGCTTGTACATTATCTCTATGCAAAAAAAAAAAAAAAAGAAGGAAAGGTAGAGGAGGAGAAGGAGGAGGAGGAGGAGGAGAAGGGGAAGGAGAAGACTTTAGAAGTTTTATTTTACTAAAAGTTATGAACCTTCCGCTTCAACAACTATGGTTTTGCATCAGGCATGGATGAGGCCAGTAGCACACACCACCTGTCACAGCTGGAGTTCAAGATTTCCTCACAGTCCCTCTGGCAGGCTTGTTCCTCAAACCAAGTCAGACTCATTTCCCTTTACAGTGACGTAAATGCAATTCATGTCCTGGCAAGAAAACAAAATGTTCTTTTATTTGCCATTCATGTCATAGTCATTCACCTTAGCATGAAGATGCAACTCTTGAAAAACTTAAGCAACGATAGAATTCAGGAAGGTCAGATCATCACTGGTGTGGACCTAATTCTTAGAAATTTTGCCTCACAGCTCTCTTCATCGTAACTTTGATGCACACATCCCTCCGTGACTGTCTAAGAGTCAGGTCAAGGGCAGCTGAGCAAATCTCTGCAGTGAGGCTCTTCCTCACGTCCCTGGGCCTGGAAGCCCATATCTGTGTGTCTTAGTTTCCTTTGCTACATCTGTAAAATGGGGAAGTAGTGGCACTCCACATTTCAGCAAGGAGCTGGAAAGACTGAGGTCATTGTAAAGCCCTTAGCCAATATCGAGCACAAAATAAATACCAATGTGTGGTGGGCAGGATTATGAACATTTTGAGAGATCTAATTAAAGTCCTCCTTTTTCTCCTCCTCCTTCCCTTCTCCTTCCTCACAGAGGGTCTTGCTGTGTAGTTCAGGCTGGCCTTGAATGCATAATCTTCTTGCCTCAACCTCCCCAGTGCTACCTAAGCTCACAGGCATGTGCCACCATTCCCGGCTAATCTTCTTCAATAAATAAGCCACTAATGTTTGGAACACTATAATCTAAATCAATGCAGTGTTTTAAACTAGATTCTTAAATTTCACCTGGAATTATATATATCATAGTTTTCCATTTTTCAAAAAGGATTGCAACCAGAATTAAATAATTAACATAGGACAAATGAAGCTTGTACATTTTTAGTTTCAAAATGTCTCCCCTCACCAATAACTTTCTTTCTTTCTTTTTTTTTTTTTTTTTTTTTTTTTTTTGTTCAGACAAATTGCATTTGAGTGACCACTTACCTAGGAGATTCTCTGATGGTGTTATCCATTGTAAACGGGCGGCCACCTGATCCAGGTGAAAGAGAAGGTAAACTCAAATAACTGAGACTTATGCTCCCGGCCCACCCCTTCTGTTTGCTGCCTGTGTTACTCTAGATTACTTTCTGCTTGTCATTTATTGTATCTATAAAATACCACTAATAACCTCTGTTTACAAAATTGATGCTCTAACTAAATAGAGCCATAGGAAAATCTAACACATTGCCTAGGCCAAGAAAGTTTTCAGTGGGCATTTGGAAGTTCACCCTGTCAGTAACCTTTGCTCTATTATAATCTCAAATTCACCATCTCAACATCAGCATGCATATTTGTAACCACGTGCATTAATCCAGTGCTTGAGAGTTTACCAATTGTTTGCATTTATATCGCTGGAAGCTGAGGCTCTGAGACTGTCTTTTGTGCCTACTGCCCTGGTCCTTCCATTCTCAGAGCGGGTCTTCCCCGTGGTTCTGGTGACACATGCCCACTTCTGCAAGCCTCTTGTTTATCTTGACTGCTGTAGATCATCCTGCAATATGAGTCCTGCGGGGTCTGTCAGAGTGAATAACCAAGCTTTGCTAAAACGTCAGTAATGGTAGGGTCGAGCGATTCAGTCTGTTTCATTTACAGGAGAGTCCCAATGGTCTAGATTAGTAGCTGGCACGTAGCAGATGCTCAATAAGGAGAACATTCTACTTGGCATAAATACGATCCTAATTGTGACTTCACATGGAAATCCCAGCAAGCCACAGTCTAGCCCTCAGTGTGAATTGCTGATAAGAATAATTGGGCCAGGAGCTCTCTGCATCCTCTTATCTCTTCAACAGGCTGTAAACTGTTCCAGGGCAAGGGCTACGTCTAGCCTACCACAGAGTATTTAGCATGGCTTCAAGCCCAGTCTCCTCTCACCCCCTCAGCTCCTCCTTTATTTTGTATTTAATGAGTGAATCAGTTTTTATAAAAAATGTTTAGAGGAAAATGTGATTTAATTTAACTTCTTTTTTTTTTTTTTTGTGGTACCAGGGATCGAACTCACAACCTCGCGCTGGCCGGGCAGGCACTTATGCCACTGAGCTATATCCCTGGCTAATTTAACTTCTTAATGAGAAAAAATTGTAATGAAAAGAACCATAAAATGTTTCCAGTGGCTGCTGGGTGGATTTCTGCTTTGCCTCCCTGTGCTAGTTTCTCCAGTGATGCCTTGGGGCGTATCTTCCAACCACCCCACCCACACCGTCCAGGATTACCTTGGCCAGACCTTCAGAATGAGAAAACAAGAGAACTGGCCCTCAGCATGCATTCTCAGAGCTGGAGGACTTTACACTGGGGATGACACAGGAGACAGAAGAAAACCTGCTTACCACGTTCGTAGAATAGCTTTCCGCTAGCCGCTTCCAGTGCAAATCATCTCACTGTGGAGTGAGACAGCTAAAGGTCACAGCCATACTATCACTAATGCTTGTCTTGCAATCTATTCTCCAGTGAAAGGTGAACTCCAGAAGAACATGCACTTTGGGGGACCCCCCCCAGCACCCAAGTCTGTGTCTCTACCTGGCAAGCTGTAGCCGTCAGTACCAGGGAGTCAGTAACTCTTTGTTGAATGGAATACGTTTTATCATCGCCCTTGTGGTAAGGATAGCGAGCTTGAAGTCATGGTACAATGAACAAATATGGAACTAGAGGCCTTAACTACCACTGACCATGTCCTGTGTACAAATAGCCTCTCTACCTTGTACTTTGCTTGTCAGAAAATTAAGAGACATAAGGGGCTGGGGATTTAGTTCAGCGGCAAAAGCGCTTGCCTGGCAAGCGCAAGGTCGTGAGTTCGGTTCCTGGTACCGAAGAAAAACCAAAAACCAAAAACCGAAATAAAAAAAAAAAAAAAAGAAAGAAAATTAAGAGACATAGCAGTAGATTATCTTTTTAGGTCCCTCCCACTTATAAAGTGCTATTTCTCTCCACCTTCACCTAGGGCCATTTAATACACCTCATCAAGGACATGCTGGTTTTGGTCATCGATCTATACTCAAGATTTCCAGCGAAAATGAGGTGGAGCTATAAGAAGGACCCAGGGCTAGTCACCAAGAGTCCCATCTTTCATGCAGACATTTGGGAATGATGTCTAGCTCCAGGGGAGTAAGTTCCTGATCTCTGTTACTGCATTTCTAGAGCCAGGGCTTGGTGTCAAAAGAACTTTATTTATCAATCAGTCCCCCACCCCCCCGTGAAAAGAACTCTTTAAGAAAAACACTGTCTGTAACTAAAGATTCCCGGATGGGGAAGAAAAAAGATGTGACTCAAAGCTCCGGGTGAAGGTGGAGCCAGCCAGGCGAGGACTGCGTGGTGTTCCCTGTGGTGTGCTCTGGTGGGTGGTGTGCTCACAGGGTGTGCAGAAGGGTTCGCAAGTAACACTGGGGAATGTGCACTCACCAGCAGGGAGCTCCTGTGGGACAGGGGCTGTGGCCCTCCTACAGCCAAATACTTGCTTTTCGAATGGGTTTTTAGTTTATTTTATCACTTTATTTTAATAAAAGTTAGTTCTGGGGGCTGGGGATTTAGCTCAGCGGCAAAGCGCCTGCCTGGCAAGCGCAAGGTCGTGAGTTCGGTTCCCGGTACCGGAGAAAGACCGAAAAAAGACCAAAATAAAATAAAATAAAATAAAACTTAGTTCTGAAGTGTAAATGGCCATTCATTCCTGGGTAAAGGGAAGTGACACACGACGGAGGACAGGGATGGGGCCTCCCTTTCTCATTCCACCCTAGGACCTCCCTGTCCCGCCCCCTGTACCTCGGACCTCAGCCTCTCTGTGGAATGAATGTGGCCCTTGGCCCCAGCCTGTAAGGGAAACTGGGAGCTAAAGTCTGAAATAAACTAACATCAGCTATCAGCCAGGCCACAAGGAAACCAGGGAAAAATTAGCATGAAGACATTGCCTTCAAGCGTTATTTTCCACTTTGGATTTGCATCTGTTTGTCACGGGCCTGCTCACAGCAGGAGGAGCAGAGCAGGGTGACCTTTGTCCCTCTCCTCTGCAGCAGAGGTCAGGCCTTTTCGCCCCTGCTTCAGCTCCGCTCCTCTCAGGGCACCAAGGGCTGCGATGACTTGCTCAAAATCCTGTGTGCTGTGAGTGGCCCAGATTGTGCAACACAACCCCTTCTGGCCAAGATTTGAGTTTGCTGAGTCATCAGCCTGACGAGTAGCTGCAGCCCAGGCAGCGGTCTCCTGAGTCAGTGCAGGTGCACAGGGAGCGGCAGCTGGAGGCTTAGCGTGCAGGGACCCTGGCACCAGCACCTGACTCCACGGCCTTGTGCCGGGATACGGATCCTCCAGACCCAGCTCAGTGGCTTGGGTTCCCATGCATTCACAGTGAATCTCAACCTTCAGGAGTGAACCCAACACACACATGAACAGCACTGGTTTCAGCCTGCTCCTGCCCCAGCTGTGACCGAGACCCACCAGGAAATGACAGTGGCCATCAGTGTAATGCATGAGGCATTTGGTGCTTCTTACATGGTAAGTGCGAGTTGAGAAATGGATTTCCTGTCTTCAAATTCCAATGCTTTAGAATTTCTTCAGTGAAGAAATACGTTTATTCTTTGCATTAGTAATGGAAAAAATATTATCACAACACCAGTGAATGTAACTGTCTTGACCGAAGTCAGCAGGATGGGTTGGGCTCCTAACCCATCAAGTGTCGGCTCTGTCTCACGATGTAGTTTTCCCCTACTAAGAAATGAAAATAAGCCAGACCATTCGCCTACTTATGCCCCATGTTATCTTAAAAGTAATTTTAATTAAAATTTTACTCCATTAATTGTTCAAGAAATCATGTTTGAAAGAAGTATGTTTACAACCTGCGAGTGATGTCCCACCCAGAAGTCGTAAACATCGTAACTTGTGCCTTTCCCCTGTATCCTTCTCCAATTAATTATGCACTTGTTGAATTCAAAGTGGAGCAGAGAAATACAAATAGAAAGAAGACTTTCATGGAGGGAGACTACAAAGTGGTATTAATAGCTACTTGTTTTCAAAGTCCACCTCTTCAACAGTTTCTTCTAAGATTGCTTTATAAAATTCATCCTCCTACCCTAACTCTCCCTATAGCATCTCCATGGAGATTAATATACAACATTTCCCTAATTAATTATTAAGAACTTTAACTTCCAGGTACTTTTGTTAAGGTTGAGGGCTGTGTTTATACTGCTTTCTCCTGCCTCTAGGAAAAGTGCATTTAGTTAGCTTATGAGTAAAGCAGCTAGCTGAGATAGAGTGGGGTGACCAGTCATACCAATAATAATTAAAGACAGACAGTAAACTGGGACTCTGACCAGAAAAGTCCTGAAAAGTCCTTCCTGAGCCACTTGCTAATGCAGCCTGGAGATTCTTTTTCTGCAACAGGAGTTAGTGAACCTCCCAACAGCCTATGTTCAGGGTGGGTTAAATTTCTCACAACAACTTCACGAACCTCCTCAGGCCCAGGCCGGTGACATTTCCTTCTATCAAGAAGCTCAGGGTATGGCTGAGCAGACAGCAGGTCGCTCCGAAATTAACACTCATCAGGCAGCATGAGATTGAACTCCTGCCTCTTAAAGAGTGCCCCCTACTGAACTCTTGAATTTTGCGAAACTTCCTCTAATATCGAATGCAGCCTACAGGCATTAGGACTTTTGAGGTTATTATCATGTACAATAGCTAGTTCTTTCTAAGATCGGTTTACTACAAACATTATGTGAATGACCTGGGCAGAGAGCCTGAGTCCCAACCACCCATGAAATTCAAAGCCACCTGTGAAAGGTCACTATGAAATAATTAAGCAATTCCTGTACCCTACTTCCCTAAGAATAATTCTAAATTGAGAGGGCACGTGACCACCCCATTCGAAACCCCTCCTGGAAATGCAGGAGCTATTCTTCTCCTTATTTGCAGTAAGAACTCTCCTTTATTGGTTCATGACTTCATTCTTCAGCATTTGTAGAGCCAGGAGCCCAGTACATACGGTATCCCCACAGCCTGAGGAAAGTCGGGGTTCTCGTCAATTAACCTGCTGTCTGCTCAGCCATACCCTGAGCTCACTGATAGAAGGAAATGTCACTGGCCTGGGTCTGAGGAGGCCTGTGAGGCTGTTTTGAGCAATTTAACCACCCTAAACATAGACAGCTTGGAGGTTCACTCACTCCTGTTGCAGAAAAAGAATCTCCAGGCTGCATGAGCAAGGGACACAGGAAGGACCTTTTAGGCAGAAATTTAGGCAGAAGAGTGGAGTGCAGGTCCTCAAAAGACAGAGGAACACCACAGTTTGGAGCTGGAAATATTTACATGTTTTTGGCTGTGGAAATCTTTGGAATTTGACAATCTAGAAGTGATGGTGAGCCTTTTACAGACCAAATGCCAAACTGGGAACCAAAAGTCCTTTATTTATTGCAAAGTGTCAACCCTGCAATTAAACATGAACACTGTACTAAGGTTTTAGTTTAGAAAAAACAACTCTATTAAAATCTTTTGTCTTGAAAGAAAAACATAGTAACATGTATGGCATAGGATGATGCCAGTTCATGAAAACACAGAAGATATAATGAGAGTTTCTGTCTCTGTAACGGGGCCCACTAACTCCTTACAGAGGTGTTGAACCCCTGATGGCTCTCTTTGTCCTTGGAAACTCCCCTGAGATTAGGGTGGAGTCCTTCCCCACCAGGACTCCCTCAGCCACACTGAGCCACTTGATGGCTCTACTTAGACAGAGTGCAGCCACTTGAGAAATAATATATCTTGGATTTATTTTCACAGTAAAAAAACCTTTTTGGTACTTTGTTTAAGGAAATAGAGACAGAAACCTCTTTTCTAAGAAAAAAAACTTTCAAAATTCTAAGAATGATTCACAGTCACTTGAGTAAAGCTTTACTGGATGTTCTTTTGTCCCGCTCAGGCTGTCAGGCATGTTTTTTACCTGCATTTTATTGGAAGAAACAAGGAAGGCGATCAAACATGGTGGAACCTATGTGGCTGATACAAAATGGATGGCCAGTCACATGACCAGACAAGATGGCATCCATCAATGAGACATGGTGACCCTGACTAAGCTAGGACCCTGAGAAGGAAATGACCACTGATGGGAGCAGTGTGGATGGAGCTTTGAGCTCAAAAGGCATAAACTCCAGTAGGCAGTAACTCGGGCAGGAGACCAAGTTACCAACCGCTATTTCCCCCCAAATAGTGAGACAGTTCAGCCAAGTATCATGCAGACCAGAAACATGAGGTCAAAAAGAAACACTAAATCTAGGTTGACACATGCTGGATGAATGTTATGCTGTGAAACTGGGCTAATAACAGGCTCTCTGGCTGTTTTTTATTGACTCATATCGGCAATGAGGGACAAAAAACAAGCAAGAGAAAAAAGAAAAGGGGAGATAAACTTGAGACAGATCTATGGTTTTCTTACTGGCTAGGAAAAACAGAGGCCATGCATGTCCCCCCTTCCCCACACCCATGGTGGGAAAAGCAGAAAATAGTTCCCAGCACCATGAAAAAAGTCTCTGTGCTCCACAATCTAGGACAGAGAGACAGGGAAAGAAAAAACAAAACAGAAAATTTTCAAGGTGTTTTAGAGAGAAAGAAAATATGTGCCCCAAAGACCTTACCTTCTGCTCTTACCTGGCTCACCAGATGTTACTAAGTTTTGGGGTGCTGGAGTTCTTTCTGGAGGTGGTCTCTAGGTTCTTTGTGTCCCAGACAAAGAATTGAATGAAACAAGTATAAACAGTTTATACTCATATTTATTAAAGGTAGAAAATAAACAGAAAGGTAGGAGAAGAATGGGCTCTGCAGAGTGAGTTTGAGCTGAGGAAAAAGGGAGGGAAAAGTAAAAATAAAAAATACACCCTCCAGTCTAGGGTGGGCTATGGTAAAGAGGCAAGATAGTGAATGCTGAATGGTGACTTTTCCGTATTTCCCACTCTTGCATTATTATGTCTAGGTCATACTGTGAAAAACCTGCTTAAGTTTTTTAAGAAGTCCACAGGCAGAGTTTTGGGAACTGCTGTGCACATGTGTTCTGGGATCCTGTTGTGCCTCCTTTTGCAGATAGTTTGAGCCACACCGTTTTCCTGCTTCGTACCTTATATATCTATGTTGGGTTATACGTTCCTGTTGGGTTTTTAAGGTCAAGTCAAAGTAAGACTTTTTTGGTCAAGGTCAGTTAAGGCATCTTGGTGGTTATTTTGTGGGCCTTGTGAGGAGTCTTCTAGCCCCTCTACAGTCTTTCATTTCTCCAGCTGCATCATGTGGCAGGACCGGTCACAGCCTTTGTTTGACCACATGACTTTTCCTGGGAGCATGGGGACATTTTCCTCTTTGTGACCCTCCATTTAGCACAGGGCACACTGGTTGGTTTCTGTTTTCTTTTGTCCAGTAATCTCCTTGTTCTGGAGGCTTAGTGACTCACTGGAGTTTCAGGGCCCCTCATGCCCTGATTTCTGGCATATATTTACTTAGTTTTCAGTCTTAAGGCAAAATATAGATTTCTTTTACAAGGTGTAATTACACTAACATGATTGTTTTGGTTGTTTGAGATAGGCTCTTCGCTATGTAACTCAGGCAATCTTCCTGCCTCAGCCTCCTACGTGCTGGGATTATAAACGCACACCACCACACCCAACTTACACTGACAAGAATTGAAGGACATCTTTAGAGCTCTTATCAACTGAGGAAATAGTATTAATGATAACAAATAAAATTATTGCCCTATATCTATTATTGCCCAAGTGTCTATCATTTTTACAATAACAAAATGTTTGTTTAATTAAAGCCAATAGAGTTAGGTTGAGTTTTAAACAGCAGGATGAAAATTAGGGGGTGCCAAAAATGTTGGTCATTTTATATGTCTAAGTTCTAGGCATAATGTATACTGTGTCAAAGACAGCACTTGTTCATGACTCTGCATGTATTGAATTTAAACTTTAAAGCTTAGTCTCACAGCTTTTTGTCTTCAGAGGTGTGTACATGTATAGTCTCAGATACAGAGGCTATTCTGTAAACTAACTGGTAGTTGTTCATTCAACCAATCGTAAACTGATTACTGAAAACATCTTATAAGTCATAACTTAAGTAATCTTTAACTCTCAAAACTCAGTATTTTTTTTTTAAAAACAAACAGCCAAATATCTAGTAGTGGAAAACACAAGAAATTTTCTTAGTAAAATTTAAAACCTTGTTTTTTAAGTTTAGTTTCTGTAAGCTTAACAAACAGCATTTTAAATCTTAAGAAAGTCATCTTTCTTTAGACATGGAAAAGTCTTTTTGTATGACAGTAAATAATTGTATATCACAAGAATGTTTAATAACACTTGTTGGAGTGAGGCACAGTAAGATTCCGGGGAAAAGCCAGCAAAGTCACCCACCAGTGAAGAAAACTGGGGCAAATTGGTTCAGGCAGCTGCTTTGTTACTACAGAGCGGAGCTGTAGACAGTAGATCCCCAAGTAGGGGAAACTAAAAAATAATATTTTACTAGAAAATTAA